ACTGTGAGTCAGGCCTGGTGATTCTGGAACCAGCCTAATCTCATTTTGAAACTTGTCCTGGTCTCTTGTTAGTTTGACTTTGAGGAAGTTGCTCAACCTCTCTGAGCCTCAGTGTTCTCTCTTGGTAATATTATCAACATTGTAAGATGATGATGCAAATTAGAGATGACATAGTGAAAAAATCCAACCCCATAGCTAGTAAATTAATGGTATTAACTGGTATCTAGATTCAATACTGTGAAAACATAGACAATATGGTAGGGCAGGAGGCAGCATTCAAGAAAGCAAGTGGTGTGTTGGCTGGCGTGGTTCAGTGGATTGAGCCCCAGCCTAAGAACTGAGAGGTCACTGGTTCGATTCCCAGTCAAGGCATGTGCCTGGGTTGTGGGCCAGGTCCCTGGTAGGGGGCATATGAGAGGCGACTTGACTGATGTATCTTTCACACATCAATGTTTCTGTCCCTCTCTTCCAACCCCTTCCCCTCTAAAAGTACATAAATAAAATCAAAGAAAGTGAGAAAGAATGAAAGAAAGAAATTAAGCTAGATTAGAAAGCAGGATTCCTTGGCCCCTCCAGAGGAGGGCATGGCAGTGAGCAAAGGCACAGAGGTATTAACTGCACCGTGTGGCTGGGGGCACTGGAGAGTGGCAGGAGATGGGGGCAGGGTGGGCTGGAGCTTGCCCTGGTCCTGCAGGCAAGCGCACCTCTGCAGACAAGCAAGTTTTCAGGAAGATGAAAGATACTGTAGTTTGTTTCCTGGCCATGACACAAAGCAACATTGAATCACATGATGAGAAAGTTAATCCCCCCGCCTTTTATGAGAACAAATCCTTTTTATTTACTTTTCAATAAATTTAAATCCTTGAGGGGTACAGCATTACATGGGTTCTGTGTCCAATGGCCTTAGCAGGAAGGTCGCTTCGCAATTTAGCACGAACCAGCCACTGTTTCCATGAGCACGAGTTCCCTTTCCCCAGATGACTCTGGCTTTGTTCAGTTTGCCACCAGGAGTCACTGTGTTGTTCTTAGCTTTGTACACATAAGCACATCTCTTGCCTAGACAGAACTCAGTTTCATCTTGAGCACAAACACCTTCAATTTTAAGAAGAGCTGTGTGCTCCCTCTAGTTCTGGAGACCCTGCTTATAGCCAGCAAAAATGGCCTTGGACCACAGCCTTTCAGATGTATCTGTTGTCATGGAAGTCCTGTTCCCTGCAGCCTCCACAGGTTTGTCCAGGCCACTTTTCAATTCTCTTTCAAGCCTTTCATCCCATCAGGGAAAGCCTCAGCTTTTAATATTTTATACCTATGATCCTCACAGGCTTCCAAGCTGCTGCTTTCAGCAGGCAACTGTGACCACGAAAAGTTCCCTGACATTGTAAAATTTTGTTTTTATGCTTATCTTCTATGCAGAACAAGTGGCTTCCTGCTTACAGGGGTGACAAAAATTTTCCTCATAAACTACTAAAAAAAATACTAAAGAAATGCAGTTACATGGTGAGATATGGAAAGGGCAAAAGTCACAAAGGTTATATACTCCACTGACCGATCTTTAGGAAATACTACTGAGTGTGTTAGGAAGTCACCCACACTCTGAACCATGGAGGGTCATGGCCAAATTTGAGTCTTGGAGAGACAATCATGACTGAAGGAAGAGGCCAGGTGTCCAAGCCTGGTCAGCAGAGCCAATCGGGGTGAAGTCAGTCCCGGGGCTGTGGGAGGACTGGAGGGGAGATATCCTGGAGACAGGATAGGGTTTGTGACCTGTTACGGGCTGGCAGAGGAAGAGGAAGCATTCATGTCTGTCCTGTGAGTTGTGACTGTCTAGGTGAGTGCCCGTCAATCGGATTTAGATGTTTCTATCACCTCTCATCACACCAGGAGCTTTATGCGCCAATGTTCCAAACCCTGCCTCTCTCCCAGCTGCCCAGTGTGCCTGGGCTCTGTGTGGCCCTGCAGGGTGACCCAGCTGCACAGCGTGCCAGCTGACAACTCAGGATCTCAGACCAGGGTGACCAAGGGCCTGGCTTTCCCTTGCACTGCAGCTGAGGGGTTTCCCAAAATAGGAGACTTTCAGTGGTAAAACAGGAACAGCTCCGGGAAATCTGGGAGGTCCTGGTCATCCAACCTCAGACAGTACTTGTGGGGTAAAGCCCTGGGCCAGATTCTGGGGGGCTGGAGCTGCTGGCCTCTGGGGCCAAAGTGAGAAGGGCATAGCCTGCATGGACCCACGCCCAGGTAGTCAGTTCACATTTAGATGGACAGCACCATGGCCTCAAAGCCAGCCCCCAACCTTCACAAAAAAGCTCAGTGGCCTTTGTCCTTTCCAAAAAAAAAGTTTCACTCTGATTGGAAGCTTCCTGTTCAAGTTTGAGAATTTAAATCCCCCAAAGATGCCTCTTTCTAGGCTTGGCAACTGTTCTCAAAGGAAAGTCTCCAACCCTGACATGAGGGCCCCACAAGAACGCCTCTACCCCATCCTCCAACAAGAATGTCCCAAATTCTCTGAAGTGCTCCTTGTATCCTAGCAGACATGGCCTGATCAGGGTCCTATGCCTGTCCCCCTTCTCCCCACTCTGTCCTCTCCTCCTCCTGTTCCAGCCTAAAGGACTCCCCTCACACATCTTCCTGTTCTTGAATTCCACCTAAACTTGATGGTTTGGCTCAATGCACTTCTCCATGAGGCCTCCCCATATCCTTCTGGTAGAAGGTACTCCTGGCTTCCCTGATCCTCTTCCAAAGCCTGATCTTACCTGCAGCGGCCAGTCAGGCCTGTCTTTGTGCCCCAAGGCACACACGCTCACAAGTCAGCATATGGAATCAACACATAAATGATCTGACACATAAATGATCAAACCCGTGATGCCTAACTGGGAGAAGTTCTGACTGTCTCTCCACCAATCACATGGGGACAGCAAGGAGGCTCATACACTGAGCCAAAGTCACTCAGTTGTCCAAGGAGCAGACAAGGTGAACGAGATACTCGCTGTCTAGGAAAGGCTACTGGGTCTGCCCACAATTCCCAAATGACCACCATGTAGCACAGGACCAAGACCACAGGGTGCTTTGGGAATGTGTCATGGAAGGTGTGGTCCAACTGGGGTCACAAAGGCTTCCCGGAGTACAGGACACTTGAGCTGAGACACAAGGATGTGGCCATCTCGGAAGTGAAAGCAAGGGGTTTGGGAGTCAAGGCACATACTCTGCCTCCGCTCCTCTACCCTCTGGCCTGTAATCAACAGCTTCAGTTCCTCAGTTTCTGCATTGGCATAGCTGGCTGCTGTGAGGATTTGAGGGGATAATGGAAGGAAAGCCCTCAGCACACAGGCAAGCCCTCCCCAAACATGGAGGATTACTGTTGTCAGTATTACCCAGACAGCTCACAGGAGGCAGAGCATTCTAGGCAGCCGGACCCCTGAGCCCAGGCTGCACTGGACCATAATCCTGCCTCTTGATTAGCCCCATCCAGGAGGGAGGAGAAATGGGGCTACAGCTGAGCCTCCCCACTGCCAGGCAGGCTGGCCCAGGTCAGACCTTGGGGTTCTAACAGAGCAGAAGCCAGGCCAAGTGACCCAGGGATGCAAGGGGGAAGGAAGCTGGAAGAGAGCAACCAAGGGCATGGCTGAGGATGGGTCTGGGCAGAGTATGAGACAAAGAACAGATAGAGCAAGAGAATATCCTCTCCCATCCCATGACCCTCCCAAGCTGCTGTAGAGAATTAGTAGAATGACTTCCCATGACGGATGCAGCAGGGTTTTGACATTTATAGGCCACAGTTCTCTTCAGGGCCAGCTGGGTATTTAAAAGCTTCTCTGAAAGCCACCCAATTAGGGGAAGGAGCCAACCACAAACCGGAAACTAGTGAGGTGTGCAAATATCTATGTCACTTCTCAGCAGGAAGGAGCTGGGGTGAAGCAAGTTGAGATGACGGCCCTGGCCCCCTGCTACCCAGCCACCCAGCGGGACCCACACTGTGAGGAATCAAGGGCCATCTGGGGTGCTTGGGAACACAGGTCCTTTTTGGTCACACTGGTCTTCCTGCTATTCCTCAAACACGCCAATCTGTTTGCAACTCCAGACTTTTGCTTTTACTGTTTACAAACCACTTATTACCAGCTCCATTACACCATTCAGGGCTCATTTCAGGTATCACCTCCTCCTAGAGGCCTCCCCTGACCACCTAATCTAAATTAGCCAACTTCTCATATCTACTGTGCTCTTCCCCCAGATCCCCACACAGCTAAATCCCTCATCTCTGCAGGTCTTTGCTTCTCTGCTCAGGTGCTACCTCATTCATGAAGCTTTCCCTGAACACCCTATTTAAAACCATACACTCTCCCTCAGCTCTCACCCTACCTCCCTGCTTTCCTCTTCTCTGTCCCACATCCTAGATCTTTCATTGCCGTTTACTGTTTTATTCTCCCCGCTAGAATGTCAGCTCCAAGAGGGCAGAGAGTATTGTAGATTTGTTCACCGCTGTATTGCCAGCATCTAGACAAGCACCTGGCACACAGGAGGGACTCAATAAATGTTTGATGAGTCAGTGAATAAATGTATCTGAATGGTTAAGAGCAGGGGCTCTACTCAGACTGCTTGGGGCCTCATCTCAGCTCTGCTTACTGTGTGATCTTGGACCATGTAGTTAACTTCTCTGAGACTCCATTTAATCATAACAGGTGAATAAAAACAGTACTCACCTCACAGGATTATTGAGTAATTAAATCAGATTGTGCATATAAAGAGGTACAAACAGTGCTTGGCACCCAGGAAGCACTCAATACTATGCTGGCTGCCATCGCAGCCTTCACCTGCTAGCATTTCTTGTTATTTGCTCACTTATTTATCATCTGTCTCCTCCATTCTAGTGTCTGCTTCCATATGTCTTACTCATACTGGACCCCTAGCGCCTAACATAGTTTGGGAAGAGAAAACCAAGCCTCCTCTCAAATCAGGGAACGTGGACCTGGGGGACACAGCTTCAGTTGAAGTAGAAGCCTCACCGATCTGTTTCTCCAGGGCGGCTGCTTCACAGACTGTGGCCCGGGGCAGGATCCCAGGGTCGGTGAAACTTGTCTGTAGCAGGCAGCTCATGACGAAGAAGAAGAGGATGGCAGCAATGATGGGGATGGCAAGGGTCAGTTGGCGGGCCAGGAAGGGGCAGCTAGAGAGAAAGAGAGAGAGATGAGTGGATACCCCAAGGGCTCCCTGGGCACAGGACACTAGGCAGGCGTTGTGATCCCAGCAAATACCATCATATTCTTGAATAGAGCCTCTCCCCGGAGGCAGCAGCCACTCCCCCATAAGAGCCTGACATCACTAATTAATCTTTGCACTTTCACCCTGAGCCATGGCAGATATGGTAAGTGGATCCCAGCACTCTTAACCCTTACACCTAGTACAGCCTCAGAATCCTCCTAAACACAGAACTCCAGGCAGCTACTTCCAATGAATTGGAATGTCATTTGAGAAGAAGCATCCATGACAGTCAGTCACTCACTCCACAAATATTTACTGAGGCCCTCTATGTGCCAGGAAACACCTTCAAGAATAAGCAGGCATACTGGCAGTAAATAAGACAGGAGTCCCCTGCTCCCTTGATGAGGCTTAGGGTCTAATGAGGAGAACAGATATGTAAACAGAGAATTGCCACAGAGAGCCTTGCAGGGTATAATGGTAAGGGGAAGGCAGTAGGACAGTCAGGAAGGCAGGCTGGCTAAGGAGATGCCTAAGCTAAAACCTGAGGAATGAGTGGGATTAGCCAGGTGAAGGGGGCCGGAGAAAAGCACAGTCCAGTCACTGACATTGTTGCCCAGAGGCTGGTGTCCCAAGTCAGTTCTGTCAGGCCCCTGACCCCCGCTGGCTCACAGAACACCCCATGTACAGGACTGGTTTCGAGGCCCAACCGCATTACTGACCACTGTCCTCTGCTGCCTTCCCTCCCAGAGCCATAGTGGCACCTGATGAGGTGAGGAGCTGCTATTTGGGAGATGACTGGCTGCTGGGAGGCCCAAATCAGTCAAGGTTCCAGGAGCTGACATAACAGCAGGAAGAAAACATGTGGGTACCTACATGCTCCTTCTGGAGCCTCCATCATTGGAGGCTCTGGCCTCCAGAGAGGTCCATCCCTTGAGGGGCAGAAACTGTCAAGGCCAAGAGCTCCAAGTGAGACACATTCTGCTCCAAACATCTTCATGCTCCCCCAATCCGAACCTCAAACAGAGCTGAGCCCTCCATGTCACCCACATGACAACTCAACCAGACTTCTTGGGGGATAGAGACTTGAAATTGGAGACTTGTAGAGCTCTCAGAAGCACCAAGTCCCAACCCCCTGATTTTACAAAGGGGGACTCCAAAACCCACAGCCAGATCCGAGGTCACCCAGCCAGTGACAGGACTGAGGTCTTCGGGTTCCCAGCAATGCTCTGTCCATTCATTTGACAAATGTTTACTGTACTGAGTGTCCACAACACACCAGGCTCTGCTCTAGGCACTAAGTATGCCACAGTGAGGAGAATGAAGTCTTGTTCCCATGGAGAGAGGCACGAACAACAAAAAGTATACATATGGTATGTCGGATGAGAACAATGAGTCTGGGCAGAGGGAACGTGGGACAGGCCCTCGTTTGCTGCATTGTGGGGATGCTCAGGAAAGGACAGAAGAGAGTGAGCCTTGAGGCTACTACCTAAAGGTGCAAAGGCCTGGGGTAGGAGTGTGCAAGGAGGCCAGTGTGCCTGAAGGGGAATGCACAAGGGCAGCAGGAAGAGATGGAAACAAGGAGGAAGCCCATCATCAGGATTTTGGCCCTCATCCAGGGAGCCAGGGAGAACTCAGGTCTGACTTACAATTAAAGATGAACTCTGGCTGTTCTCTGGGGTGGGAAACAGAGCAGAAGCCCTGCTTGGAGGCCTGTGCAATAATATGCCAAACCACCCTGGCTGGCGTGGCTCAGTGGATTGAGCACGGGCCTGTGAAGCAAAGGGTCGCCGGTTCAATTCCCAGTCAGGGCACATGCCTGGGTTGCGGGCCAGGTCCCCAGTAGGTAACACATGACAGGCAACCACACAGTGACGTTTCTCTCCTACTCTTTCTCCTTCCCTTCCCCCTCTCTAAAAATAAATAAATATTTAAAAAATAATATGCCAACCAAACAACGGAGCAAAACCATTCTCAGTGGGAAGAACCGAGAGCCACCTTTCCCTTTCCCCAGAGCACTAGGTGAACACCCTCACTAACAGCATTCCCATCATGCCAGCTACCTACCAAACTTTCATCCCAGTCCAGACTGACGTGAGTTCTCAGCCCAAACCCAAACCTCCCCGCTAAGTCCCCCACCCCAAGAAAGGAGGAGCAAAGAGAAAGACAAGATGTTTCACAAGCTCTCCCCAAACTCAAAATTCCCTGCTTCCTGCCTCTTTGGGGTCAAGTCTGTCCCAAGTGAAGACACTCACTCAGCCCAGAGAACATCCTGCTTCTGAACTGACCAAATCCCAGACAGCAGGTCATGAGGACAACTCATGGCAAGCACTGCTTCCTCTTGCCCTCCTGCCCTTGCTGCAGCCCTGGTGGGAAGACCTGGGCAGGATACTGGAAAACGTACTTTCGAAATACCCCTGTGGGCTGTCTCAGCAACACAGATGTGAAACTCAGCCCAGAGCCGTGAAAGGGTAGCGTGGGAGGGAGGTCACGGGGTGGGGGGTGGGGGGATGGGGAGGGCTCCTCAGACCTTCTGCTTGCTAAAACTATCCTGGAACTTTGTATCCATCCTGACTCAGAAGGGAAGTATGAAGGGGAGAAGCTAAGTGGTAGGAACTCCTCACCTTGCTTCAAGGGGAAACCCGCTCTGGCTGGGTGGCTCAGTTGGTTGGAGCCTTGTTCCCGTACACCAACAGGTTATGGGTTAGATTCCTGGTCAGGGCATGCAGGGAACTGATCAATGTTTCTCTTTCACATCCATGTTTCTTTCTCTCTCTCTCTCTCTTTCTTCTTCTCTCTCTCAAATCAATAAACATATCCTCAGGTGAGGATTAAAAAAAAGGCAGGGGCACAAAACCCAAGGTCAAAGATACATAATCAGGAAGCTGGAAAGGGTTCCCCAGGGACTGGTGTCTTTGTAGCAGACTCATTCATCATGGCTACAGGCCCTGGGGATGGGCTTTTGGCAAAGACAATAATAACAGCAGCAGCATTTTCTTGTTATAGGCTAAAAGCTAAGTGCATGACCTCATGACAACCTTAGGGAGTGGGTACTGTTATATTTCCCATTTTACAAATGAGGAAACCGAAGCTCTGAAGGGTGAAGCAACTGCCCCGAAGTCCCACAGTTAGTGTGTGGTGGCTCTGGGATTTGAACCAGGTCTCTTGGCTCCAGAAATGGTGTTCTTAACTACATCGTATTATGAAGACCATAAAAAAAATGGGGGGAACTAGGTGGGGGAAGTAAAGCTCATACAGCATGCAGTGGGGGGTGTGTGTGCACATGTGTGCATGCAAGGAATCACGTAGCCAGTGGCTGAAGCTAGTGACCAAGGGTAGAATGGAAAACTTCTGATATAAATATGTGACCCTGGTAAAATGATGGGCATCCCCTCCTCATCCATCAATTGGGGGAACCATGTGGGCTTGGGGATATGAAGAGGTTAAAGTCCACAGGAGCAAACATGACTTGTTACACGAAAGTACTATGGACTCTACTAAGAAATAAAGAAGCACTGCAGCTATTCCTGCCATGGCACAGGCCAGAGGGATGCTCCAATGTTAAGTGGGTTAAAAAAAAAAGGTCAGGAGGTAGGGGACAAGGGCTTAAGAGAAGTCTAGGAGAGGAGGACACTGAGGAAGGACAGAAAGCTCTAAAGAAGCTAAGGAAGGTACTGGAGAGGAAAAGGAGGCCTGAGAGTCCCAAAGATATTATATTTGAGGGAAGACTGCCTGAGGACCCAGGCCATGAGGGAGAAGCAAGGGGAGAGGGTCTGAGACTAGAGAGATGAGCAAGGGGACCCTAGAAATAAGGGCCCTGAAGGGAATGGGGAAGACCGCTAGGAAATCTGTGGTGAGGAATATATAGCCAAAGGCTATGGAAGAAACTCAGAAGTTACCTGGAAGGAATATACATAAAAGGTGCCTCAAGTCAGGAAGAACCTAGGGGCCAGAGCCAGTCCTGAGGATAGGTGAGGAGAAAGGATCTGCTCAAGGAGCCGGGGAGGGCTGGGGCAGGGGAGGTGGGGGCAGATTCTGAGAGGGCAGAGAGGGTGGGGGTCAAGGGACATGGGAGGGCAGTGATGCTGGCAAAGGCAGGGTGACAGGGAAGGATGGGGGTGCGAGGGCGGGGCCACAGAGGGTGAGGTGGCTGGGAGGGCGGGCGGGGACCAGGGAAGAAGATAAGAGGTATGCAAGGTGCCGGAGAGGCCTGAAGGCAGACTCAGAGGGACAGAGAGGATGACGGCCCCAGAGGGGCCAGGAGTGAAAGCTGCCTGGCAGGTGCCGGGAAGGGTGGAGTCCCAGGGAAGTGGGATGGGTTAGGTACCCAACGGGACTCAGAGGGCTCGAGCGCCCATCAAAGGCTGGGGAAGGTGGGATGCGCGACAGGGGATGGAGGAACCTGGAGAGGATGGGACGCCTGAGGGACCCGGGACCGGGGACACCGCGAACTCACTCGAAGACGAAGAAGAGGACCGTGGTGGTGAGGATGAGCAGCAGCGTGAGCGCAAAGACGCCGCCGTGGCCTGCCAGCATGAGGCGGCCGCCGCAGTAGAAGCGGTTGCGGCCGGGGAACACCTCCCACTTGCGCCGTGGGCGGTGGCCGACGCTCCCGCTGCCGCTGCCGCTGCCGCTACCGCTCCAGCGCGGTGCAGTGGCGGGCGGCGGGGGCCCCGGGCCCGGACCGGAGGGCGCGGCAGGGCCGGGGCGGCGCGCCCCGGGGGAGGCGGGCAGCTGGGCGGCCCCGGGGCTGATCTGCTGATACTCGCAGTCCTTCATGCGGCCGGCCGCCGGCCTCCGGTCCACGCCCCGCGGGCCGGCCGCGCAGCACCGGGACCGGGCAGAGCAGCGGAGGTGGCGACGGCGGCGACGCGCGCGCCGCTAGCTCACTCGCTGGGGGCGGCCCCGCCCCGCCCCGCCTCCGCCTCCGCCGCCGCGGCCTCCCGCCGCAGCGCCCCCTCGGCCTGGGCCAGGGAAGGAGCTCCTACCCGCTGCCGGTCCTGCCTGACCTGCTGCAGGGCACCGGCCAGTCCCTGCAGCCCCTAAAGCGGCCCGGTCCGTTCTGCACAATGACAGGGCAGCAGATGCGCACTCGAGGTCTTTCTGTTCCTTTTCAAGCACACCATTTGTTGGGCGTCCCGTTTGCGCGGGGCACCGTGCCAAGCGCCGAGGATGGGGTGGTGGACTTTGTGATCTTCTGTAATCTGTAATTCCAGGGCCAGGCTTCACCTATTTCTTGATGACTGGCCAGGCAGGTGTTTTACGCGGCAAGCAGGAGTGCGTGTGGGGACACAATCTTCTTTGAAAACCAGGGGCCTGTTAACTACCGCCTTGAATTTCAAAGTGCCCGGTAGTTGTGTGTGTGTGTGGGGGGGCATATGCGCTGGCCGCCCTCACTCAGCTCCGTGATCCTAGGTGACACTTCATGTGGAGTTCTTGTCTCATGGCCCCAGTGTCTTTCAGGAATTCTTGGTGTATTCATTTTCTATTGGTGTGTAACAGATTACCACAATTTAGTGGCTTAGGACCACACACATTATCTCACATGTTCCAGGTCAGGAGCCCCCACACAGTTCAGCGAGTCCTTTGCTTAGAGTCTCAGCGAAGGCTACCATCAAGGTGTCAGCCAGGCTGCAGTCTGTCCTGGAGACTCAGCTGGTAAAGAATCTGCTTGCAAGTCCATTCCGGTTGTTGGCAGAACTTACTCCCTGGGGATTATATGACTGAGGCCCTGTGATTTTTGCTGGCTGTCAGCTGGAGGTGTCCCTCAGCCATGTGCAAATCCTGGAGGTTACCATAGTTCCATGTCATGTGGGCTTCTCCAACATGGCTGCTTACTTCATCAAGCTCACAAGGAGAGTCTATAGCTCTAGTCTTCGAAGACACTTTTTTATAGTGTAACTTATTTCACAGTTGACCCTTGAACACCATGGCTTTCAAATGCACATTGATTTTTTTTTCAATAAATACCTGTACCTTTCATCCTTTCATCCACAGTTGGGAGTCCACAATGAGGAGGGCTGATGTATGCCATTTTCTATAGGAGATTTGAGCATCCGTGGATTTTAGTATCTGCCTGGATCCTGAAACTAATTCCCCATTGATACCAAGGGACTACTAAGTTTTTAGGGAGTTGAATGTTAAACATGGATTTTTTACTGCACAGGGGTAGGCGCTCCCAGCCTCCACATCGTTCAAGGGTCAACTGTATATGCAACAAGAGCAACATCCCATCACCTTTGCCATATTCCACAGATTAAAAGAAAAGTCACAGGTTCCACTTCAACTCAAGAGCAGAGGATTACATAAAGGTGTGAATACCAGGAGGCAGAAATCACTGAGGGTCAGTTAGGGTCTGTCCACCAGACTGAGGTTATTGGAAAACCTAAGTAAAAATATAGGAAAAGGGAGAGCTGGAGTCCTCGCTGGTGTGGCTCAGTGGACTGAGTGCCAGCCTGCAAACTGAAAGGTTGCTGGTGCGATTCCCTGTCAGCACATGCCTGGGTTGTGGTCCAGGTCCCCATTTGGGGGCAGGGGCATGTGAGAGGCAACCCATCGATGTATCTTCCATCAATGGATCTCTCCCTCCCTGTCTCTCGGAAAATAAATACAATCTAAAATAATAAGAAGAAAAAGAAGAAGAAAGAAAAGGGAGAGCTGGAGACTAGGGTAGGAGAGAGGAAGGAAGGAAGTCAAAACATGATGGGAAGTGGAAGGCAACAACAGTAACCTCAAGGATCACTAATTGGTACACATGTCTAAGGCCACCCTCTTGGTGCCAAAGATTCTGGATTTGATGAGCCCCACCTTGAAGGAGTCCACCAAGCTGTGGGCTTTCTATCCTCTCACTACTTGTCTATGGAACAAAGTCACAAAACTGGACGTACTGGTTCCAGTACACATTCTTGCTGTCCCACTCAACTGGGTCCTCTTGAAACCCTAAACCTTTTCTTGTTCCTTGTCACTTCATGGAAACCAACTTGACTTTCAGCTTCCCTCTTCTCTACCTCATAATTTGTATTTGAATCAATTTTTTCCTCACATCTTAAAAATGTGGACCTCTGGCTCTGGCTGGGTAGCTCAGTTGTTTAGAGCTTGTCCTGATATGCCAGGGTTGTGAGTTCGATCCCCAATTGGGGCACATACAGGACTCAACCAATAGATGCAAAAATAAGTGGAACAACAAAAATTGATGTTCTCTCTCTTTCTCAATCAATAAATTTTTTAAATTTTTTAAATTCGTATTTATTTATTTTTAGAGAGAGGGGAAAGGAGGGAGGAAGAGGGAGAGAAACATCAATGCGTGCTTGCCTCTTGCAGGTCCCCTACTGAGGACCTGGCCTGCAACCCAGGCATATGCCCTGACTGGGAATCGAACCAGTGACCTTTCAGTTCACAGGCCGGTACTCAGTCCACTGAACTACACCAGCCAGGGCTCAATCAATCAATAAATTTTTAAATAAATTTAATGTGGACATCCCTCTTCCCATAGCCAACCCTCCATTCATGTCTTATCACTTCTGTTCACTGAGACTGCAAACTCATACTCAACTCTCTATCAGTTAAAAAGCAAAACTAAGCTAAAACACTAACAATTGAAACAGCTTTCCACGTTTGGCTACCTCTTTGCTGTAGCTTCAGGTTTATCTTTTTCTTTCTCACTAGAGTCATATTAAAGAGCAGCTACCATTTCCTGGTCACCTATTCATTTCTTTTTTTTTTTTTTTAACCTTTCGTGATTCTCCTTTTCTTTTTTAAAAAATATTTTATTTATTTATTTTTAGAAAGAGGGGAAGGGAAGGAGAAAGAGAGGGAGAGAAACATCAGTGTGTGGTTGCCTCTCATGTGTCCCCTACTGGGGAGCTGGCCTGCAACCCAGGCATGTGCCCTGACTAGGAACTAAACCAGTGACCCTCTGCTTCACAGGCCCATGCTCAATCCACTGAGCTACACCAACCAGGGCACCTATTCATTTCTTAACTTCTTACAATTTATCCTGTCTACATCACTCTCCTAAAACTTCTATCTTAAATGTCCCTACTGACCAATTTCGTGTGGTATAAACTACTCATTCACCAATATTCACAGTTCCCAGGCTCTCTTACAGATAGAAGTGACTGAATTCTGTCTAACGAAAGTGACTGGAAGTGACAGCCTGACCCATAAAATTTCCACGTGCTGACCCTTGCTCTCCTTCCTGTCTGCTAGCAGAATACAGGAGACTCTGAGAACCTAGAAGAAAGTCAAGTCAAATGTCTCCATTCCAAGTTTTAGGGTCCCACTCCTCAATCACAGAAGATTTAGTTTAGTAAGACTAAATTAAACTGATGTAACGCTGCACCATGCATAATTCTTTATTTCATTTGTAGCAAGTAAGTCCAGTGTTTACAAGAAATAAGATATTATTTTATGGCTATTATGGAATGTCTATGATTTTCTGACCATGACTTAAGGGACGAGTTTAAAGACCCAAATTTGTCATTTACTGCAAGGACTCTGATACATTCAGAAGAATTCCTCCCACACCAAATCCCTATAGTCATCATCGCTGCTACTGCAGTCAAGTGCAACAACCATTGGGCCCCCAAGGCACTTGCTCTAGCTGGCACTTTATCACAAATAACCCTAGGTGATAATTTGATTAATCACAATGCCACAGCATGCCATGGATTAGTAGCATCACCTTTCTCATTGGCAAGGAGCCTAACACATTCAAACTCAATGACACAACCAAACCAGCTTCCTCATCCTATCTTTTGAGGTCTACTTCCTGGGACCACTACTAGTACCAATTTCAGTAGCAGTCGGTGTCCAGCCAATGAGACAGCAACCACACCAGCCATTGGACAGAAAGAATTTAATATAAAGAATGGTTGGAATGGTTAACTAAGTATAGAGTTGTTAAATAGATAAGTGAAAGGGTAAAAAAACAACAACTCTAAGATATGGGGACAGACAGCAGGAAGCATCTATAATTCCTAGAGCTATGAGAGCAAAGAGAAGAGTTTGGAATTACTAAAACTTACACACTTAGAAGAGGGGCCTGCCCTGGCTGGTGTAGCTTAGTGGATTGAGCTTGGGCTGTAAACCAAAGGGCGGCGGTTCGATTCCCAGTCAGGGCACATGCCTGGGTTGTGGACCAGGTCCCCACTGGGGCCATGTGAAAGGCAACTACACATTGATGTTTCTCTCCCTCTCTTTTTCCTTCCCTTCCCCTCTCTCTAAAAAATAAAAGGAAAAAAAGAAGAAGAGGAGCCCTACAGAGCTGACACTCAGACCTCCAAGTCAGGTACTGATGTCTCTGAACTTGGAAGAGGGACCAACACCTCTGAGAAAAGGGGTTCTACCCAGTTGGTGTAGTGTCTCTGAGGGGGACACTCTGAAGCTGTTTCTGCAGATATTGGAAAAAACTGTAAAGTGGCCCTGGCTGGTGTGGCTCAGTGGTTTGAGCACTGGCCTGAGAACTGAAAGGTTGCTGGTTTGATTCCCAGTCAGGGCACATGTGTGGGTTGTGGGCCAAGTCCCAACTTGGTGGCATGCGAGAAGCAACCTATGATGTTTCTCTCCCTGTCTTTCTCCTTCCCTTCCCCTCTCTCTAGAAATGAATAAATAAAATCTTAAAAAAAAACACAACTGTCAAGTGCATTCAGCTCCTGCTACAGGAAGGAACTGCTATTGCCAGGATGAAAGCATTGCTGGGGTGACTTTACAGGAACAGGAAGCAAACAGGAATCCTTTCTTCCTCCTCTAGCCTCACTAGCTCCCTCTGGTGGCCCTTATGGGCAGAGCCAAACATAGACCGGGCTGACAGAGCAATGTTAGTCGCAGAATCCCAGCTCCAGTATCTCAAAAGTGGAAAGTAGAAGGGAGGTTTTGGAGCTGAAAGACAGTAACTTAATAACTAGTACAGGTTCCTTTATAAAGTATTATAAATAAGAGGTGGACTTAGGTGAGAATTAGCTGGTATTCAAACAGACATGGAAAGGAAAAGGAAATACAGGGTGGAGCAGAAGTAGGTTTACAGTTGTGAGTACACAAAAGTTTACTCTTGTATTATTATTGTGTATTAATTATTGTATGATTTTCCATATGAACAACTGTAAGCCTACTTTTGCCTGAACTTGTAGAGAAAGTCTAGAGGTGGTGGGCATTTCAGGATGGGAAAAGCTGACTGATTCTGGACAACAAATAGTATAAGATTGGAAAAGGTCTTGAATCACTGGAATTGAAAGATGTTATTACCACTAAGGCACATATCAGGTGAAGAGCATGACCTTCCCACTTATTAACTCACACAGCTTTAATGGAGCCACTATTACATTGAGAGTGAGGCAAGAGGGTGAAGAAGCAAATAAGTAATCAGGTTAAGAAGTCTATCTAGGAAAGAACTTGAGTCTGGTTAGTGTCACGTGGATCTGACTGGAAGCAAATAGAGCAGAAATCTATTGCGTTAATTTTGTGTGTCAACTTGACTAGACCACAGTATGCAGATATTTGGTCAAATATTATTCTAGATGTTTCCATGCAGGTATTTTTTAAAATGAGATTGACATTTGAATCAGTAGGCTTTGAACAAACCAAACTATTTTTCATAAAGTAGGTAGGCCTCATCTAATCAGTTGAAGGTCTTAATGGCGGGGGTGGAAGTCCCAACAGACTTTCCCCTAAGAAAAAGGGAATTCTACCAGCATATTGTTTTTGGACTCAAACTGCAGCATCATCTCTTTCATGGGTCTTCAGCTGCTGGCCTACCCTGCAGATTTCAGACTTGCCAGCCTCCACAATCATGAGCCAATAGCTTACAATCTCTCTCTCTCTCTCTCTTTCTGTCTCTCTCTCTTTTCCTGTCTCTCTGTCTCTGTCTGTCTCTCTCTCAGAGGGCAGAGCCACAAAATGGAAGAAGCCAGGGTCCCAAGTGACTGGGTAAAAATTGTTTCCCTCCCCAAATCTGCATTATACTACAGTGTAAACAAGAAAAAACTTTTATTTTTAAGATACTGAATTTTGGAAGCTGTTATAGCAGTTAGTGGACTTTTCTCATCCTTTCTTTAATCCTAACAGCATGATGCTGGTAACAATTTCTTCTTGAAACTCTCTTTCCCTGAAACTATTTATTTATAGTCCTTTAATAATGATGATAATGATAATACTGATAGCTACCATTCATGAAATTCTTTCTTTTTTTGTTTGTCATGAAGTTCTAAGTGTCAGGCACCATGCTAGTGCTTTATTCAGTGTCTCGTTTAATCCTCATAACTATTCTGTATGATAGGTGCTAATACCCCTATTTTAGAGATGAGAAAACTGTTTTAGAAAAGTTGAGTCATTTGCCCAAGGTCTTATAGACCCCCTTCTCCACACTTTTCCTTTTGACAATCAAATCCAATCTCGTGGCTGCTGTAATGATCATGTCTGGTTAGATGATTCTCTGATCCCTTTCCTTGTCTCTAGTTCCACATTTCCTGGCATATGAATGTGCTGATAGTGTTATAAACTCAATATGTCCAAATGCAGCTATTCCCTTGTTAGTACTGTTTTAAACACTTTTCATTTAATACCCACAACAAGCCTATGAGACAGATAATGTCATTATTCACATCTATGAGCTATAGTGTTACACACATTTTACAGAGAAATAAACTGAGGCTTAGAGACTTACTATCTGGCTCCTATTTGCACAACTAGTATACAGTAGAGCTGGTCTTGGGGCTGATTTCAAGGCCTAGATCTCAATAATGACAGTACCTCAGTTCTACTCAAACTAAGCTCTTCCTGTCCTGTTCCATTTTCTGCTTCCTATACTCATTCTCTGCCCTTAACTTTCAAATCTTATCTGTCCTTCGGAGTCCAGCCCAAAGGCCATTTCTCCATGAAGCCTTTTCAAGTATTCCAAGATGGAAGGGATTTTCACTTTATTTGAATTTACAGAGCATTTACTCTGTACCTCACTTACATTTTCCTAAGCATACCAGTAAAACTTTAATTCATCTTGATCATAAAAAGTTAAAGCAGAGCAATACACAGTGAGACATTTAAGTATTCCTTTATTTCCCAGAATTAATCAGTTTCTATCTTGATTAATATTTCTGTGTATCTGCCAGTAACTCTATGAGACAGTTATTTGAGGGCAGGAGGTATCATTTTATTCCCCTAAAATAGGAATAAACAATTGCTGAAAGAATCGGTCAACTTGAAATCCCTTGAGCCTGCACACATTACATTTTTAGATGAAGGTAAAAGGGTCTGTTCAAGAAAAGGAGTGATTCCCACCCAGGGGACTGGTGAAGACATGTCAAACACTCCCCCTCCTCCCACCTTCATTAAAGAACAAAAAAAAAGAATCAACTTCTAGATACATGAAGCTCTGGTTTCTGTTTTAGCTGGGTCTCAGAAGGAAATTACTTTTGTCTGAAATTGTAGAAGCCCAACCCAGCTGCAGCATTGTTAGACCTCAGGGTAAACAGGAAGCTTCCTGCCTTGGGCCCTTCATGTCCCTCTCCCAGACTATTAAAGACTGTTAGTAGGATGGTAAAAGGACAGCTGCTGACCATAAAATCAGCTCATTCCTTAGATGCTTAGAGAAGAGCAACTCCGTCCCTCCAAGGTCAAAGAGAAAACTGTGTCTGTAGGTCACACAGGTGAATCCACCTAGCTGCGGTCCTGTTATATCCTCCATGGTCAACTGAAACCATAATGATCTTTGCTGGATACCAGAGTGATTTTGTTGAGAAGAATGGAATTCTCATTTATAAGGTCTATAGTCCTTGAAATCACTCCCCCCCCCCCCCGGGGTATAATGAGCTCTAGTATAAAGGTGAAGCTGAGACTGCTAGAGCAGTGAAATCACTCCCTCCCCTGTGGAGTGATTATCCACCAACAAGAGGCAGAGGAGAATGCATGAGAGCAGAAACTAGTGCTCCTTCCTCTGCAATGAAGAGCTGAAACAGAACCTCAGCTCTTCCTGCACACAGGGTGGAAGTCCCTGGATTTGCAGCTGTTGGTGAGGAGGGAGGGAACAATTTCTGCCAACTGGAAGGACACTAGGGCAGGGATGCTCTTTTGCCAAGAAGGGCACTCGCGTGTCTTGGCAGAAGGCAGAGGGCTGCCCCAGTCTGTGTGTACATTTTCAGAAGCATTTGACTCTGGACCAAATTCTCTCAGCTGTGCTAAAGCTGGGGCAATGGATGGGAAATGCTTATTGGCTAGGCTGGCTAGAAGCTCCAACAGAGGGTGCTGGGACTCAGCCAGGAGCTTCCCCTTCAGCTGGCAAGTTTAGCTTTCTGTCATGGTCAGAGGGAGTGTGTCAAAATTCCAATTCTCAGGGTTCTCCAGAGCTGCTTATGATTAACCACTTATTTTGATGAAATTTTTTTTGCTCAAATGGGGAATGAGTGGTGATGATGCAGAGAGCCTCTTACTTGGCTCAAGAGTAGGCAACACTGGCCAGTGTGGCTCAGTTGGTTGGAGCATCATCCAGTAAACTGAAAGGTCACAGGTTCAATTCCAAGTCAGGGCACATGCCTAGGTTGTGGATTTGGTCCCTGAATGGTTCTCTCTCTCCCATCACATCCGTATTTCTGTCCCTCCCCTCCCTTCTAACTAAAAACCAGTAGGCATATCCTCTGGTGAGTATAAAATTAAAATAAGAACAAGCAAAAAATTGCCCAGCAGGAGTCAAGGATCTTACTACCACTAAATGAATGGGCTCATAACCAATGGGGCCAGTCAGATACCATTTCATTCAACCTTGGACTTAACTAGTTTTTCAGCTCATGCTGCCATGTCGGTTCCTCTGACTCATGTCTACCAATCAAGCAAGCACAGGCACTTGGACACAGCAGGCAAACCAGTCACTGTTTTGACCACTTAGTTGCCTGGCACAGGCTTACTTATGCAGAACAGGAGCCTTATTTGCCAGGTATCACTGCTTTCCCTTATTCCGAGAAAAGGTCACTTAAGTTACTCCTCAGAGTTGCACCCAAAAAGAGGCAGAGTTTCTTTTAAGTGCTGAAAGCAGAACTGAGTATTTTCTCCTAAAGTCTCATTTGAGCCTCTATGTAAGTGTTTAGACTGGGGTGATTCTATTGTTTAAGGCTGCTCTTAAGATCTTAGAGAAGAAAGGGACCTACAAGAAAGTATATGGTTCTTTCCCTCTCCCTACCCCTTCCCCCTTATGGGCTAATATCATTTCCCTAGTTTCAGAAAAGGTTACTAAGGCTCTGAGAATTCTCTCAAGGTCACACAGCTGGTAAGTGGATTTTACTGAGAGGACTAGAATCCAGGTCTCCTGCTTCCTTGTGCAGTGCTCTTTCTATTGTGACTTTTTTTCCTGAAGTAGTTTGTATTTTTTTTAAAGATTTTATTTACTTATTTTTAGTAGGGGAAGGGAGAGAGAGAGAGAAACATCAACATGTGGTTGCCTTTTGTGTGCCCCGAACTGGGGACCTGGCCTGCAACCCAGGCACGTGCCCTAACTGGGAATCAAACCCATGACCCTTTGGTTTGCAGGCTGGTACTCAATCCACTGAGCCACACCAGCCAGAGCTAACTTGTATTATTTTCTTAAAAGGCAATTGATTGCTCATATAACCAAAAGTTGTTTAATGTGCATATCTTTATAAGACTTTTCATATAAATACATGAACAAATCATTTCAAAAATAATCAGAAAGTGTCCCATTAAAAATTTTTTTTAAAGATTTTATTTATTTTTAGTGAGAGGAGAAGGGAGGGAGAAAAAGAAAGAAACAGCAATCAGTTGCCTCTCACGTGTTCCCAACTGGCAACCCCCTGAAGAAACATGGATCAGCTGCCTCTCATACGTGCCCTGTCCAGGGATCAAACCTGCAACCTGGGAATATGCTGAGGTCAGGGCAACAATGTCTCATTTAGAAAAGAAGGTCCCACTTTACTTACTACCTGCCACTACACTGTTTGGACCTCTGCCATCATGTGTGGACTATTACCAGTCTGTTAGCTAGAGCCTTTGATGAAATTTACATTTACATTTACAAGTGGATCAGTGGTAAGTTCAAGACTATCTCTGCTGTGCTTGGTTAAAGAGACAGATTCAGGTATACTTTAGACTTAGAATAAGATGTTTGCACTTTCTGTGAAAATACTCACTACTCTAAAAATTTTCCATAGCCAGGACCATTAGGGGGCTCTCTGGTGGCTCATACTGCTCCCATTCCTAACCAACCTTCAAATAGAGAAAGAGGTTCTAATTAATGGACAGAGTAAGAATCCCAAGGCAGTGCAGGCAGTGTATTTATATATTTGTACTTTCAGCCCTCTGGTTTGTTTGGTTTCAAGCCTGTCCCCTGAGATTCTAGGTCATGTCCAAGGCAGGAAGTTGCAATGCAGGAGCAGTCCCAGGAGCCAGTAAGTCAGGAAGTAGCCTAGAATACATCGTGTGACTAGAGAACAGGTTTTCCAGTTGTACAAAAGTCCCATGATAGAATTTCTGGGGACCTTTTGTCCTGGTGGGGAGTCCTCTGCAAGAGGCTTCCAGGGCACCGTCTCTAGGGATCTCAGCAGTGGCTCTTGATCCTGAAGCAAGTGAGCTGGAAACCAGTACACGATAGGTGTGGAAGAGCCCAAAAACCTGGTGAGAACCTGGAAATCATAAGAGGGGGAAACCCACAAATTTATTGGAATGTCACTGCCTCAAATTGGACCAGTCTGGGGACTCCCTGCTGCTGGGTGAACTGTAACCCCATGACTAGACATTTATTACACTGGACACAAAATTTAGTAGAGCTTAGGATCTGCCTTATAAAGCTGTGTGTGATACCAGCCAAGTGACCTCCATGTTACAAATAAACACGCTACAGACTAATTACCACAGTAATGATGAGTCAATACAAAAAAACTTTGTGGGGTCCTATTTTAGAGCATGGCCTGAACTATAAACTCTAGGCTGTGATGTGGGTCTTTAGGAACCTAAGGTGGTTCCCCCATCGCATGAGATAGCAAAGCGGAGGGAAAGGAGGATACTATTTATTGCTCAACATTCTTCCTTCTAGGGGAGTTCAGGGCCAAATGGCCTCCCTCCTCTACCTGGAAACGCTAAACTTTGCTGGCATTCTCTCTAGCTAATCCAGCTACAAACACAGAACATTACTTTCTGTCTCCCCTGTGCCTCTTATTCACACAGCTCAGAGAACTTTACAAACAGCCGATGTGTGCCTCTAAGAGGCAGAAACTCTGGCACTGCTAAGGAATGGCCAGCATAGAGAAAAAAAAAAAAATACTTCCTTGGGGTTAAGATGAAACTGGGGCCACAGCAAGGAATAAAAAAAAATCAAATGATCAAAACCTTCCCATCCCTCTCTATCTGTCCCCCAAACATTGCACAAGATGTTTCCTCTGAAAACTGAGCACCCACTCAGAATACCTCAGAAAGTCAACTACCAAGTTGCAACTGTATTATGGGAAGGTCCCAGAGGTATTTTCTGTGCTTATTCCTGTATCTAAGTCAAATCAAGTCACAACTCTTATGTCTTTGTATACATCCTTCATTTGCCCAGAATGTTCTTCCTTTGCTTCTCAAATGGAATTTCTTCTTATTCTTTATGACCTGGACTAAATCTGACACCCTCTTTCAATCAGCTTTTTTCCTCTGTGCTTCCATAGTACTTTTTCTCCATAAAAGCAAGTCCTTTCCCATTCCACTTTGCTCTAATTTTATCTGTTAAATGTCCATCTCCCATTTCTACCATAAGATCCACTAGGGCAACAACTTTTTTTAAAAAGATTTTCTTTATTTACTTTTTAGAGAGGGGGGAGGGAGGGAGGAAGAGATGGAGAGTAACAGCAATGCGCAAGAGATAGATGATCAGCCCCAGCTGGTGTGGCTCTATGAATTAAGCACTGGCCAGTTGGGGCACATGCCTAGGTTGCGGGCCAGGATCCCCAGTGTGGGGGGTACAAGAGGCACCAAACATTGATGTTTCTCTCTCCCTCTTCCCCTCTGTCTAAAAATAAATAAAAATATTGAAAAAAGAGATACATGATCAGTTGCCTCTCGCCCACCCCCAAATGGGGACCTGGCCTGCAACTCAGGCATGTGCCTGACTGGGAATGAAACCAGGGACCTTTCGGTTTGCAGGCCAGCACTTAATCCATTGACTCACACCAGCCAGGGCAGTTTATCTTATTCATGTTTCATCCTCCATGGCCTGACCCACGGTCTAGCACAAAGAAAGCTCCCCACGTAGTTGAATAAATAAATTAGACATAGGTCACTCAAATGGGAAAAGTTAGCTCTCCTCCCCATCCCTGGTCTAGGGGTTTTGCCTGTATTTACATCCTTTTCCCAGCCAGGAATCAACCTTACCTGAACGTGCATGCACAAACAGCCAAAGAGCAGCAGTGCTACAGCGTGAATCAGGTACACAAACACCTGAGGACTGAGGAATCCAGGATCGGGCTTTTCTAGGGTCTTACTGTTCTTGTTCCTCCGCATCCCAAGTGTAAGGCAGAACCAAGGGTGGGTGGTCACATATGTCCAAGTTGCCCAGGCAACCAGAATAGCCACTGGTGCAGCCAGCAAAAAATTGGGCAACTGCTTAAGCTCATAGTACCTCAAAAAGCCAATATTCCAGTAGATATCCTGGATATAGCTGTATATTAGGGGAAGTTCCCAAGAGCACCAAGGTGGCTTATTTCCCTCTGCAATTCGGTAGCCCTTGTCCAAAGCTAACTGCAGCAAGGGCTTAGGGATGGAGTGGACCGAGCCTGGCAGACAGAACTGGGTGTAGGCATAATACTGAAAAGAGGCAAAGGGAAGGCCAAGTATGAGCATGGACAGGAACACAGAGCCCATTAGCTTCAAGAGCTGTCTCAGAGGATTCAGTACCATGAGAGAAGAGAAAAAGCCTCGGCACTGAGAATGAATGAGGAAGCCAACACTGACCAGCCCATTGGAGCGTACACCAGTGGCAAGGGCAAAGAGGAGTCCACTAGTCCAGCTTTGGCCCCTTTCCAGCTGCCCCATGGCAGTGAACGTTAGGAGGGCAAACAAAGCTTCTGAGTAACCGGCAGTCAGGAAGACATTGGCAGGGCTGAGGCAGAAAAGCAGTGCTCCGTAAAAGGCCTGGCGGGGACAGTGCAAAACCAGACAGCCCAGGTCATGAAGTGCAACTGCAGCCAGAACAGAGAACAAGGAATTGAGCAATGCTACTGAGATTAACAGGCAACTCCGTAGGCTTAGTAACCCCCGCAGGGGTCTCAGCAGTTCACTCCCCACCAGCAAGACCAGGGGGAAACCAGGGAAGAAGGCAAAGTTGTGCTCATACAGGTAGCCATGCTCAGCAATGAAGAGAAAGTGTTCAGCATCCCAGTGAGACAGGCCACCCAGGAGACTTTCCACTAGTTGGTCCACAGAGCCTGAGGGAGCAAGGCGAGGAGGAGAGAAGGCTTCTGCACGGTGATCTGGGATGATGGCATTGAAGAGTGCCTGTGGAATGAAGGAGAACAAGGATTTTGGTTGAAAAACTGGAATAAATTTTCATTTTATTACTACTTAATAAAATGAAAGAGAACATATTTGTTGGGGGGAATCAGTTTAGTTTTGGACTGGTGAAGTTTCAGTTGGACATTCCAGTGCAGAGGTCAACAAGGCAGTAAGATACATGAGTCCGAAGGTCAGGAGAGTGATCAGGGCTAGAGATACAAATTTGGGAGTCATCCGGACCAGGGTGGTATTTAAAGGTATGAGACGAAATGAGAGCACTAGGAAGTACAGATAAAGAAAAAAAGAGAGCCAAGGACTGGGCCCTGGCCACACTGACATTTAGTCACTTGAGAGAGGGTAAAGATTAAGAACAAACAGTGAGGTAAGGGGAAAACCAGGAGAGCCTGGTGTCTTAGAAGCAAGTGAAGCAAGAGCATGATTAGCTCTGTTAAATGCTGCTGACTGGTTAAGTAAGATTGGGACTGAAAACTGACCACTAGACTTAGCAATGTGAAGGTCACTAGTAACATTGACAAGAGCTATTTCAGTGGGGTGGAAAAGAAAGAAGATTGCTTAGGCTGAGTTCAACAGCAAAGGGGAAAGGGGAGATAATGCATACAGACAACTACTTGGAGGAAGTTGGCTATAAAGGGGAGCAGAGAAAGGGTTAGTAGGTGAATGACAATGTGGGGGTAAAAAGAAATATTTTTTTAAAAGTTGGGAGATAAGTATTTGTTTGCCAATGGGAATAATCCAGCTGAAAGGAAAGGAGTACACAAGAAAGGAAGTGGAGGATTGCTGGAGCAGGCAAAAGAGGATGGAATTTGCTGCACAGGTAGAGGAGCTAACCTTGGAGAGGAATACAGACAGCTCACCCAACCTTCCACAGTAAAGGTGCACAGTGAAAATGTAGTTATGCTGATGGAGGTGGTGCAGGCATGCAGAAAATCACTTTTGATTGCTTCAATTTTTCTGAGTTTTCACTTAAAAAGGCAACTTGGAGAAAAGATGTTAGAGACTTGACCCTAATTCTCAAAATAGACTCTGTACTGGAATCACCCAGGTAGTTTTACAAATACTAATGCATGGGTTTCTCCCCCAGAGTTAATGATTTCACTGGTAAAATCTCAGCCTGGGCACTGAGATTTTAAGCTCCCCCAGGTGATTCTGATGTGCAGAAAAACGGGGAGAGGGGGTGAGTGGACCAAGGAATACTCTAACATTGGGTAGCACTAAGGACTCATTTGAGTTAATGATCTTCAATAAAATGAAACTAGTTACTATAGTTTTGTGTTTTACTCTGGGCAGATGCAGGCAAAGAATGGAGAGAGAATTGAATTTAACCAAGGTTGGGCATAGGGAGAAGGAAGCAAGTGAGTTGTGCAGGAATGCCTAATGGAGGATGGAATCTAGCTGGGTAAGAAGTGAAGCTGAAGCCTTGAGGTGGATGAGAGTCAATGAGACAGTGGCAGAATCAATGGATTATAAATCCTGAGGCGCGGGAAGAATTGTTAGAGTACTAGAGAAAGTGAGCTGAAAAGAGAGGAGATAGTAGTCAGGTGTATCAGCTTTGTTAATATTCAAACTACCAAGAAATCAGCAGTTGTGCTGAAAAGAGAAACCATGAACCAGGAGATAAGACCTTAACAATGAGGAGGAATGAGCCATCCTTAACACAGATGACAGCAACAATTAAGGGAAACTAGCAATATATTCTGATGGCATGAACTTTAAAACTAGAAGGTGGGCACATTGGGAGAAATAACAAAATAGTATTATTGTTAAATGTCTTTTTGACCCATTAGATTGTCAGTTATTTAAGGGAAAAGAGACCATAACTACTTTTATGCTCACCACCTAGCATGTGGAACAGAGTAGGTACTTAATAAACTTTGGGTTATTGAGTGAACAGTCTGGAAAACATCCTTGTTTCAAAATAACCAGCTGAATTAGAACCCAGCTGTCTTGGTTTCCTATTCACAGTATTGCTCCACTGGTTCTGCCAATCAAAGTTATCATCGAGCCACTTTCTCCAGCCTGGCACCAGGAGTATAACTCCATTTTTAAAGTTCTTTCTGTTTTTGGTCAGTTTATTTATTTGTTTTTGTAATCAGGCAACTTCAAACAGTGAAAACAACTGGGACAGGGTTGACAGTTAGATAACAACCCTAGTCTCCTAGTTGAAGATACTTCTCACTAAACCTGGGCTCTAGCAAAGCCTGCTATACCTCTTATAGTGAGGGAGAAGAGGAAAGATTTCCACGAAGAAACCAGCTATGAGCCTCAGAATGAAGCTTGTGATAAATGGCACACATAATTACGCTAATATAACATATCTAGGGTGTAGACTACATTCAACAAGAACACATATGGAGAACCTGCTAAGCACCGGGCACTGTGCTAGGCACTGGATATAATTCATATGTATATGAAATCTGATTAAAATATGTATAAGGACAGGCTTCAAGGGGGAGTTTTGCAAAAGTGAGTGCATTCTGAGGGCTGTGTGAGGGTAAGGCAGCAAGGGGAAACACCTGGGAGAAGACCAGGGGACACTACTGACTAACCAAAAGCACACAGATGGTCTCGGGGCAGTGCCACTTCTTTCCCTCTCCACTGACTGACAGAGTGCTCAGTCTCCTGGTTAGGGGACCCAGGGCAATACTTTGAGCTGTCACATCCAAATGGCATCTCTGGTTATGGAACATCATGGTCTGCTGCAAAGACCACTAGATCAAGAGTTAGAAAACCTGGGGTCTGATTCTGGCCCTTCTCTAACTTACTGTGTGACTTTAGGTAAACCACTCAACTTTTCTGGGCCTTTCCTGTTTCATGTGTAAAGCAAAGGGTTAACAGACCATTCCTGAGTCCTGCCCACTTTTCAGCTATGAAGCCTAAGTGTTTATGGTTCCAACCACAGGGAGGGGTAAACCTGAAAGGTAAAAAGGAGATGGGGACTATTCTTAGTGTCTATCCCAGTCATGTGGCAAGGCATGTTCAGGACAAAAGATCAGAGACTGACCTGCAGCACCAGAGTCAGGACACGGCAGCTGGCAGCAAACCTCAGCACCTCTTTTCGGGATGGGTCCAGGAGCCACATCCTCTCACCACAGGAATTCAGGGGTGTTGCTGCCAGGACTGAACTCCCTCAAGCTTCTAAACTCCAAAACCCAAGGAGGAAATGTCATACATAGGCTGAAAGTAAATTCTTGAGAGCATTCTTCAAGGGAGACTCCCCTTTCTGCATTACTGGGCAAATTTAACCACTTAACTTCCCAGACAAGGGAAAAGCATCTTGAAAGCAGATGTCACTCTGAAGCACTATATTCTTCTTGGGAAAGTTTCACACGGATAAGCATGAAACTGGAAAGCTAAACTCAGAGAAAATCTTTAAAAAGCCTGTTGAGTACCCCCTATGCAGGAACTAAAGATCTGGGTTCAAGTCCTGGCTCTGTTACAAGTTCTCATTTAGTTCTTCTGAGTCTCAGTTCTTTACATATAAAATGGGATCAGCCATGGGTGGTGTATCTTAGTGGATTGAGTGCTGGCCTGCAAACCAAAGGGTCGCGGTTTGATTCCTAGTCAGGGTACATGCCTGGGTTGCAGGTGAGGTCCCCAGCAGGGGATACTCGAGAAGCAACCACACATTGACGTTTCTTTTCCTCTCTTTTGCCTCCCTTTCCCCTCTCTCTAAGAATAAATAAAATCTTTTTAAAAATTGGGATCAGATTATTTTGCCTGTCTCACAAAATTATCGTGATGGTATAATGGACTAATGTGTGAAGAAGTACTACTACATCTATGTTGTGGTTGCTGTTATTTGGTGTGTGCCCTTTTCCTCTTGCCCAGAATAATAAACTAGGTCCCAAACCAGAGTCTCAAAAATGAGGCATGGAACTGAACTGGAAGACCATAATCACTATACACTCTAGCTTAGCTCTCTGATGTGTGTTCAGCCAGTCTGTTAAATTAAGTGGAGAAGGGAAAGAAAACCACCACTCAGCAGGACTTTAGCCAGCTCACACTGCTAAAACAAACTCAGAGGACTCAGGAAGATAGAGTTGACTACCAGGGATGGAGAAAACTTATGTCCCATCCCTTTGTTGGAATGGCAGCAACATCCAAACAGTTGCAGTCATTCTGAGGCAAGGAATGCACATCAAGGCTTTTTTCTTTTAAACAATTCCTTGGGCTAAAAGAAGTAGCAATGCCTTCTACAGAACCAATTGAGGAAATCAGAAGCGAGGACAAAAGCATCAGAGGCAATTCTCTGACTTGGTGTTCTTCCCCCAGTTCCATCCTGAAAACATCCAGAATTCCCCATGTGTGTTGAGGCTCTATCCCTAAAGGAAAAAAAATACCTAAACTGAGAAATTAACAGGAGGGCTGGAAGACTTAGTTCTGTCTTCTCTTATCTGGCTAATACCTATCAAACCTCTAGGTATCACTTGTTTCTGGAATTCTTTTCGACCCTCACTATGCTCTCATTGTACTCTGCCTTGTGGTCTTTACTGCTACTGCTTAATTAAGTTGCTTGGGAGGGCTTTGTCTATCTTGCTAACAACTATCCCCAGGGCCTAGCATAAAAACAGACATTTTAAGCCTGTATTCTGATTGAGTGAAAATGGCAAGAACAGAATGTGGCATCACCTGTCATTGGCTCTGGATATAAAATCCCTACTCCAATAGTCCTCTCACCATACTCACGTTAACAGCAACACTACAAAGTCACAGAAGCCACAGGAAAGTAAAATTTCTCCGGAAAGGGAGCAAGACGGGCCAATAACAACAGTACTTATCCTCAGCACCAGGGGGCGCCCGCTGCTTACTCCATCACCGTGGAGCCCGGAGGGAGGGGCAACGAAAGCCGCACGGTTTTGCTCATCAAAATTCAGTTCAAAGGCAAGCTTCTGAAAACCCAGAGGACAGAGGTAGTTTGTGAATCTACCCAACATTTCCAATACTGACTCGCCGAATCGAAAGGAATCCTAGAAATAGCCACAGCCAACGTCACAGGCCGCTCGGTCTCTATCTTGGGTGATTTTATCTTTTTCCCTTCGTTACTTCCCACCCACATACATGCAAAAAAGTTGGGAACAGAAAAGCACAACCCACCTCTGCCTCGTCACCAGGCTGCCATTCTTCCTCTCTCCAGAGTCAAGCTCTAGCCCCAGCGACCACAGGAAACTTGTAGCTTACACTTAGTTTACAGGTAAATCAAGAAGAAAGAAAATAAAGCCAGTGAGTTCTCCCTCTCAGCTAATTGCCAGCCTCGACTTCCCAACAACTCCTTTGCCAAATCACACTCTGACCTGGCAGGACAGGGAGCAACTAGTTTTACACTGTTCACGCGAGATAAATATGCCCCAGAGAAGTGAGTAATAAAAACCTCCCTAGTTTTAAATCAGAGATCTCATTAGACCCTGTGACGCCAGTATAATTACCGTCGCCATTTTATGGATATGGAAACTGAGGCTCGCTGGGGCCCTCAGACACATTCAAGGCTATATTTAAAGAAAATGTCTTAATTTTTTTTCTTTTTAAGTTCTGAAACCTCATGGTGTTCCCACCAGGCCTTACTCCGGCCACAGGGGACGTGCTCTTTCTGAGACATGATTACAACCCGTCTCCTAAATCCAACCCCACTACACTTGTCCAATGGCGGCGCAAGCCTTCTGCTGAGTATTTTGAGGGAAGAGAGGGCCCTATCTGAGAATACAGGGAAGCCTGCTGAATTAAAGCCCTGGGTTCTCTGGGTAAGACTGACATCCTCTGCGGGGTGGGGAAATGGCTCTAACCAAGCGTTCTCAAGGCCAGAGGCCTCGCGGGCCGTAGCGAGCCAGGGACCGCCTGCTGCCAGCCCAGCCGCGCCTAAAGCCCGTTCTAGGCCGCTTCTTTCGGACATAGTCCCAAGCGGGGATCGAGTATATCTTCTTCCCAAAGGCCTCAAGGGATATTTCCGAGGGGGCCGGCGAGACCAGGCGCTGCCGCAGGGCCGGAAGGCAGGAGGGCGGGAGACTCTAAAGGAAGAGGCGGCACTTGGAGGCCGCTATGGCGGAGGGGCGGGTTTCCGCGCTTCTCCGCGGCCTCCGTCTCCTTTCCTTCGGCCTCCGTTTGACAACTCCCTCCCCCAAGAAGTTTCAGTCTCTCACACCGGGGCTCTAGTCCCTAACGCCCACGCCAGCGCGTCTGTGTCTCAGGCAGGGCCCGAACTGTAACTCCTCCATCCGGGACACCAAGCTGGCCGCGCCTGCGCTTTGGCTCCGCCGACGGCAGATCCGCCCCTCACCTGCCCGCACTCTAAGTACCCGCCGCCTCCGCGGCGGCCATGATGACTCCGGGCAAGTGGGGCGCGGACTGCAGATCCCCTCCATTCCGCTCCCCTTTGCCTTGGCACCTTTCCTCCGTGGTGACACCTGGAGACTTCGCCCCCCACGCACTACACGCTCCTCGAGCTGCCTCTCCTGCCTTCAGTTAGTCCCCCGGGCCTTCTGTTTCAGAGTCGATGTTCTTGCCCCTGTTCCATCCCGCAAACATCCACTGAGTTCCCAATGTGTGACAAGGCTCTCAGAATTGGGGACTGCCCCGCGACCTCTTTCTTCACAGAAGCCAGAGCTGCACTTTCCCCGCTGTCAGGCAACAACAGCTGGGCACAGAGTCTGGCACACAATAGATATTCTTAGGGGGAAAAAAAGCTGCCTTGGGGTTCCTGTGGCCAGCAGCGGCACCCTACGTCGTGAGTGTGAAGAAAGTGGGGGATCCCCGACTTTCCACTCCTGCAGCTACCAGGGACCTTGTGTCCTACTTCAAGCCCCAGTCCCACCGCAGGTGGCTAATGAGGGTGGTGAAGGAAACTTCAGAGAACACCCCCAGGACTCCTTTCTTCTTCCTCATTCAAGTAGTTTCTCTCGCAGGAAGTGGGGCCAAAAAAGAAGAAGAAAAAAAGAAGCTAACTCAACAAAACCGTTTGTTAGGGAGGAGCGACCAGTTGGTACCCCCGTAACGGAAACTGTTAGAACAACTTTGCACCCTACTTAAAGGAAATAGATAATAAATCCTTCTCCGTTGGTGAATTTCTTGTTTCTCAGGATTCCAAAACCTTCTGTGGTTTCGGTTATCTGCCCTCCAAACGAAGCTAAAGGCTGGGTTAGCTTCTGGCCACAACCCTGGCTGAGGGAGGGGTTTATCTTCTACAACAGATACTCTTGTGGGTGGGAATAAAGGAGATGGTTGTTGTATCTCTCAGGCAAAGAAACTAGCCCAGATCAGTTTGGGGGGGACCAGGGACTGTATCTTTTGATTCTTTTTTTAAAAACATTTTATTTATTATTTTAGAGAGAGGGGAAGGGACTTGGCCCCAGAACTCAGGCACATGCCCTGACTGGGAATCGAACCAGTGACCTTTAGGTTCATAGGCCCGGCACTCAATCAACTGAGCTATACCAGCCAGGGTCATTGTCTCTTTTTTGTAAGATTTTATTTATTTACTTATTTATTAATTTTTAATATATTTTATTGATTTTGCTATTACAATTGTCTCATTTTTCTCCCCCTTATTCCCCTCTGCCCTGCACCCCCTCCCACTAGCATTCCCCCCACCCTTACTTCGTGTCCATGGATTGTACATATAAATTCTTTGGTTTCTCCATTTCCCGTATTATTCTTAACCTCCTCCTGTCTATTTTGTACCTACCATTTACGCTTCTTATTCCCTCCCTTTTCCTCCATTCTCTCTCCTCCTTCCTCCCCACTAATAACCCTCCATGTGATCTCCATTTCTGTGATTCTGTTCCTGTTCTAGTTGTTTGCTTAGTTTGTTTTTTGGGTCCGGTTGTTGATAATTGTGAGTTTGTTGTCAAGATTTTATTTTTATTTTTTTATGAACCTTAGTACAAAAATTTATTTAAATACCACCAAAAAGCCCTGAAAAAGTTAGTGTAAGAGTTTCAGAAAAATCAAAGTAAATGAAAACAGGCTTTTTTCTTGTTTATTGTTGCTCAGTTATAGTTGTACCCATTCCCTCCCATCTGCCCCATTGCTCTCCCCTGCCCTGTCCTACCTCTGCTCCCAAAGATCCCCCACCTCACTGTCTTTGTCCATGAGTCCTTTGTACATGTTCCTTGGTTCCTTGACCCTTCCTCTTATTTCCCCCTTTCCCCTCCCCTCTGGCCTCTATTGGTTTGTTCTTTATTTCCATGTCTCCAGTTTGTTTGTCTTGATGACTAGGTTCCACTTATAGGTGAGATCATATGATATTTGTCTTTCACTGCCTGGCTTACTTCACTTAGCATAATACTTTCCTGTTCCATCAGCCTATGTAGTATTCCATTGCGTAAATGTACCACCGTTTTTTGATCCACTCATTTACTGATGGGCACTTTGGCTGTTTCCAGCACTTGGCTATTGTAAATATTTTATTTTTAGAGAGAGAAGAGGAAGGGAGAAAGAGAGAGAAACATAGACAGGTTGCCTCCTGCACGCCTCCAACTGGGGCCCTGGCCTGCAAACCAGGCATATGCCTTGATTAGGAATCCAACCAGTGACCTTTTGATTCGCAGGTCAGTGCTCAATCCACTGAGCCATACCAGCCAGGGCTAACGACATGCATTCTTAAGTTTCTGTCTACCCACAAGAAATTCCCTCAAAAATCTATTTATGAAAAGGACAGGCGTCTCTTATGACAAGTCAGAATGTTTTCTAAAAGCTCAACTCCTCAACTGTCACCCTTTAGAGGTAGAACTTTGTTCAGATCTTTAGTTCTACTTTCCTGCAATTTTTCCTTCCTTTCTCTCTCTGCTACACACTCCCCTCCTCTTCCGCTGTTTCCCGTTTCATTTTCTGGCTCCTGCTCTGACAGGAAAACAAGGAAGCTGAATCTTGTGCTCTCAAAGCCCTAGTTTGACAGAATAGAACGCTAGGTGGGATGGGAGGGGGTTCTGGGCCTCCAAGACTATAAGTAGTAGAAGAGGCAATCTCTCTAGTCTGCTTTGAGTCAGCAGCTAAAATGGAGCCTGCACCTACACAGTGAGCCAGCTGAGTGACCAGCACTGTGGGAGAGTGAGGGAGACAGAGATGTATCCCAAGGCTCCAGAAACGCTCTACACCACCCAGCCACTTCCATTAAGAAGGAAATATCCTACACCACCAAGAAACAATTTCATAATACAAATCCCTGACCTAAACAGTGCATAAACAATGCATCACTGTTCCTAGAATCCTAGAAAATAACAGTTACAGAATTTCTGTTTCTTGAAATTGCCTGGCTCTGCTCTTGCTTGAAACACTTCACTGCCAGACCACCCTTTGGCAAGCCCATAGCATTCAGATGTCAGCTGAACGTTACCTCGTCCGAGAGGCCTCCCCTGACTAACCAGCCACAACCAACACCCTGTACTAACTATCCCATTTCCATTTTCTTCATAGCATTTATCACCACCTGGTTATTCTGTCCATAAGTTTTACTTGTCTGTTTTCCTGTTATGGAATGTAAGCTCTGTGAAAGTGGGGGCCTTATTCAAAGTATTACCAGCACTTAGAACAGTGCTTTGCACATTGTAAGTACTCAGTAAAGATCTGGTGAATAAATCAATTTGTTTAACCCGCTACCTATATTTTAAAGATGCAGGAACTAAGATTCAGGGGAAGTGACTGGGCTGAAGTTCCACAGCTAGTGGCAGAGGCGGGACTTAAATTTAGGTTTCTAGCTTCCCAACCTGGTTTCCCCCAAAACCCCTTGCAAAACTCCACACTATTTTAATGTTTCTCAAGTTTACCTCTTCCTCTCTTTTTTCCCCCACATTAACTAAGTATTTACGGGCTATGCCAAGAATACTACACAGGACACACCAATACCTAACTACTCTTTCCTCCACTAAATTCTTATCTGCTTGTTTTACTCAACAAAATGGGAATGTCTATTCTGTCAGAGGGAACGATAACACTGAACAAGGCAGATACAGTTCTTGTCCTCATGGAGATAATATCTACCTCATGGATTGTACAGTGCTTGGTATAAAGTGTTCACTAAGGATGGGCTGTTATACCTCTCTGAATGAAAAGAGGAGTGGTTTTTCCACTGAAGGTATGGAGGAAACTTCTCACGGAATACTCCCCTCCTTGAAGCACCCTGACAACTCATTTCTCTCTGTAGCTGCGTTGCTTGCTCCTGCCATATCTGGAAATGGCTTTGGCCCCAGGCTGAGCAGAGAAACAGCTCAGTCTATCTATTCTCAGTAGCTCAGTTTCCAGACACTAAACCTTCCATGACCCTAGTTGTATTTAAATACTGGAGAAGTTGACCCTGATCTGGAACTTTGGCTTTGAGGCCACGTCATTATGGGACAAAAATGACTATTATACAGACCTCTGATACCTGTCATTGCCAACTGTTAGCAGGCAGTGCTAATGACTGTGATGACAAGCAGTTGCGCCTTACCAGAACAGCATGCTACTTCTTTTTGCTATGGATAAAAGGCATTCAGTGGCAGTTTCCAAGGATCTTGGGTGACATTTACATCCATCCTGAAATCTGGGTTAGCCAAAAGCCTATGTTTTGGGCTTCTGTTACGTCACTTGAAGTTGCCCATCTACACCAGGACAAAGATCCTGCCCTACCTCCCAGATGTAGGACCCAAACACTTATCCTTCAAAAGCCATGGACACAAGTTTCTCATCCTTTCTTTGGTGTTTGCCTTTCAGTAGTTAGAAATCCTTGACCCCACTGAGAGGCCTAGTGGAAAGAGCCTTAGCTGCTTAGGGGTGGCAGTGGCTGTAAGGCAAAAGAGCCAA